CTATCTAGGGACTACAGAATAATACTCAATTAATTGGTTGTAATACTTCAGCTTGAACTTGTACTAGTGCTTGTTAAGTCTTTACTTAAAAGAAGAGTTCACAACTTAAATGGGAAGGATGTTCTAGGTGTTGTTGACCACCCTGTTGCCAAATGCATAACCTCTGATACTGGTAATGAATCTGTTTCAAGATCTTCTATTCTATGGTATTGAATCTATATTTAGCTAATTTTTCATTGTTGTCCTTAAATGGTGCATCACCAGTGCATAATCTATATTGTTTAAGCTTTTAAAGACTTGTAACATTTCTAATCAAAACCCTCTATACTGTTTAGGATGATAGCCCCAATTTCTTTAACCTAGCTTGATGTGGTAGATCCCTTAAATTTCATACTAGTTTAGCTGCCTTCTCTGTATTTTATCGAGACCTGTACCTTGCTCATTATTTAGTAAAGGGAACCATACCATAATTGCTGTTTATAAATAGGGATGAACTAGGGGTTTGTAGTGTCAAAACAATTCTTAATTGATACATGTCAAGGTTTGAATATTATATGCCACCCAGGTTACAATTTACTTTGTCAAAGCTGATCAAATATGATCACTAAATATCAGATTTTTGTCTTCAGTTATTCCTAGATTTCTCTTATTGTTTACTTCTTCAACTGGAGTTGTAGTACTATTTTGTGTTATAGTAAAGTTTGCGTTATCTTTGGCATGTCCTGGGTGAATTTTGAGGTGTTTATACTTTTCAACATTGAGTTCCATTAGCTACTGATTTGTCGATGTAAATAGCCTTGTATTGTATTTATTAAAAATGTCTAACATCATTGGTAATATTCTAATACCAATTATTTATTGAGTCACTCAGGATTGGTATGTCACATGCAGCTATCATGATGCTGGTATCTCAAGGATCACAGGGAACCAGTTATCGCCCCCGCTTCATCATTTACATTAAAAATCCTATGTGAAATAAAAAAAAATATACTATTTTTCAATTGCTGCCTTTCGAGTTAGATTAAAAATTAAAGTTTTCTTGACATTTCTTCATTTCAGTCATGTGACTTAGTTATTTCCACTCTTTGCAATTGATAGTAAGCAGCAAGGGAATTTTAGGTATCAATGCATTATTCTAGTGTGGATGGATGCTGTAAAGATAAAATAAACAGAAAAGATGCCACCAAATACCCAAGTAAGTTTCTTTTATTTCAAACACCTAATATTGAAAAAATCTTTCAGTAGTGTAACCGAATAGTCCGTCAACTCAGAGGTCCATCCATTCAAGATTCAGTTTTAACCATGTGACATGATATTTTATACTTAAGAATTCTTTTAATGTGTCAATCTAATAAGCTGAAACTATAGTAGAGATGTAAAAATTTGTTAGTCATGGACTAAACACATGTTTATAGACCAGAAGTAGGTTGGGCTGACAAAGTTTCCAAAGGTCGAAACTAATAAAAAAAACCAACTTAAAAATTGGCTAAATCAAAAGGCAGCTTTTACCAGGCACTTTTTAATACAAGCACTCCTTCTTTCTTGAAAAAGCATTTACAACATACACACAAGGTGTATTTTTCATCATGAATTGTACGAGAAAGAAAAACTTTCAAGGGCCAAAAAGGGAATGGCTTAAAGCATAAAGAATAATAAACATTATTTAGTTATCTAATAGATATCCTAAGTTAGTAAATAAAGGGCTACCATTAATAAATTCAAGATGGTACTGTACAAGTTCCAAAAAACGCTTCAAGAATTGAACATTCCACAAATATAACATTTCAAAATCTATGTCAGTCCTGACTATCAACTCTGAAATAAAAAAAGGAAATGTACATGTACGTAATAAGGCATTCTGTGCTTATATTGTTGTTTCCTTTGTTTTAGACTTAAATACCTGCTACATAATGTATCTTATTTTGCATTTCATTTCTAATATTTAGGCAATTAAATAAATAATCAGTGATTCTACTTTCTTGATTGTACCAATATTTTTGCAACTGAATAAAAAAAAATTCTACTAACTTATCAGATATACATCAAAGCAATTAAAATGTTCTAAACTAACATTTACAATGCCCCTCCCCCTCCCCTCATATGAAATCTCTCTGAAGATAAAAAAAAAACCTTGGAGGTTAGCAAAAAAGGTAGGTTTAAAAGGAAAAGTCTAGAGATAATCTGCATGGTGGCAGCCTTTATAAATATGCTTTTAAAGGGAAGAATTCTGAATATCAATTGAGCCCTAACACAAATAAAATCGTTGACAAATAGTCAAGGCCGTTACAACTTAATTAACATCATATGAAAAATACATGCATGGGACATTTTATGCCTACCCAAAACTTAGTTATAAACTTTAATTACCTTATCAATATTCAGTATTTGAGAAGTCAGTGACAAAAGCAAGCAAACCATTTCAAAGATCAATGAATATACAAAAAAAACTTTTTTACATGCAGAGACCAGAAACACGCGACATTTATACTATTTTTTTCTTTTGCCTTTTGTAGAATAAATCAGAGACATATATAACACAGTGTTATATATGTCTCTGAATAAATATATCAAGCAAATTATTGATAATGAGAGTGGGCATTTACAAATATAGGGATGTAGCCGCCTTTTATGAGTATGAATATTATATATGTAATTATATATCAGTATATCGATAGCATGTCCAATAGAATTTAAATGGTTGTTTACAAAGTCATAAGAATTTAAGAAAATTGAATTTCCCGCCATGTGTCAGTTCTCAACAATCCACCGATTGGGATTGCTTGTTGTTGAATATTATAAAATTGATAGACCAATTTACCCAAACATACTGACACTTTCAAGTTCTTCCAAACTCTTCTTAACATTTTCTGAGCTTGTAGCTGTGTTTTCTTCTGCTATTTCGAAATGTCGACTGCTTTCTTTATCCCATACATGCGCAGTAAAAACGAACTTGGAGTCGTTGGAATGTTTGAAAGGGGCAGTAGGGAAGGCGGATGTACACTAAGCGTCCATCTACACTGATTCGTACATATGGCTGGTGTAGAGGTGAGATATGAACCGCCAGGATAGAAATGATGGATATATTGCTATTAAAAATAATTGTCAGGGCACACCTGCGATCTAACAAACATAATAATTTACTAATGCAGATGAGGTTACAACAAGTAACGTCAATCTTTGTTTCAAATAATGAAAACTCGCTTCGGCTAGGTTGACATTCGTTCATGTACATGTAGATATCACTTTCTGTTTGAGTCGTTGAAAAATTTAGATAATTTAGATCCAAGTGGTATCGAGAACATTTTAGCGCACTTTCGTCCGTGTTTATATTTTTTTCTTTTTGTCGTAAGAATAGCTTTACAGAGCTAAAGTTAAATTGTTTTAAAACACTACGTAAAATAAAGGTTCTTGTATCTTTGATATTGAAGATGAAATGGATTTGGGAAGACATGCATGTCAATTTGGTATTCAGAAGTGACCAACAGAAAATCACCGTATACTTTTGTAACATTAAACTGATTATCTGGGTTTAAAGGCAGATGAATAGCCAAACAATTTTGATGTGTATACGGAAATGAATTTGGGTGCAGGGAGTCACTCTTGCTAAGGGTCCAGGTGTGAAGCCCTCCCAGGTAGGGGATTTGAGATTCAAAGCCCCCAAAAGCTGGGAGGAAATAAATCTACATCGGTGTAAAGGTAGCTATGCATATGAAAGGTACAGTGATATATAAATATGGGGCATTACACTGATCAAGATTATAAAGTTGATATGTTATAGCTTGTCTTTCACATGCACACACACATATATGTGTAGTAAAGGATATTTTCCACTTGAAGGGATATTTAGCCCAAGTGAGGATTTCAAATAATTCTTTTTGTAAAAAAATTCACAAAAGGGCCTGGCCTACTTGTATTTTTAATGGAAAATGTATACCTCAATTCACCAAACAATTGTAGAGACAAATAATATTTAATTTGTGGAAACTATAAAGTTTTAGCTAGATTGATTTATAAACATAGCTCAATCATGATTGAGCCACAAACTTTTGTTTTTTATCAGATAAACCATATGAAATATTGGTGTATATTTGAAAATCAACAAGAAATAAGCCATATAAAGGAACAGAATTCCAATCCCAGCAGAAGTTATTTAGTAAAAGTAACAAAAATATATGAACCTCAATTTATAACCAATACTTTGCTTGAAATTTTTTCTCCAATTAATGACTAGAGTTCCAGATTCTCCAATGTACTATATTTAGACAGTCAGATTTTATTTTTATATTGGCAGGTGGTATTTCTACCAATTTTGCTAAATTGAAAGATATTTTGATGCTGACAGTATAATTTTAAAAGTCTTCATTCATTTATTTACTGATGATCCTGTCCTGTTCTCAAATGAATTAAGGCAATAATGCAACTTAGTTTAGGTAAAATAGCTTGTGTAATCTTTGTCTTGTGTAAGGCATCTTCCTAGTGAGTTTGAACTCCAGTGGGAGTAACATATTTTTCATTCTTCATTAATCTTCCCAATTACAGAGTTGATGCACTGATCACAATACATTTGTATGTAGTGTATAGAAGATCAGGAAGCTTCATTAGAGCTGAAGATTTAACATAGGTTGTGGGACAAGGACTTTGTGAAGGAGAGTGACTAGTCTGAGGTGGAGAGTAAATGTGCATCAAAAAACTACATACATATTTATAGTTTTATATTGTCAGAACATTTTCAATAACAGGAGCATCTGATGGCCTTGTCAGAGATTTGAATTTCTTAATTCAAGCCCCAATGTAGGGGCAGGATATTTTCACTATTTAAATTTTCAAAATGTACCAAAAGACAAAGCCAGTTGAAATGTATACAAGCATTGATAAGATGAGGTCATCCTAAGATAACAATTTTTGTCTCTAGCATCAACATTTGTTTGTATTCACAGGTGGAAGTACTGTTCTTTGCTAAAAGCCGTGAGTTGTCTGGTCTGAAAACCACCAGAATCAAGGTAGAAAATCCAACCAATCTTCAACAACTGATCAACAATATTGTGAGCCAATTTCCCAGGTAAAGTAAAAAAAAAAGAAACTTGTCAAAACTGTAAATGCAAAAATTATTTACTTGATTTCAATTAACAATCAATTACACATATCCTTTACTCTGATTGCCAGTGGAATTCTGTCAATATTATAACCAAACTTTATTTGTTTGAAGTCTAGAATAACAGTGTATGTCTTCAGTTATGTTGATATTCAGATAGTTTTGATCCCCAGTGTCACCAGACCATTTTCAAAAGGTTCATGCAACGGGTTCCAGGATTATTCTCAACAAATGTTGTTTTGAAAGGTCAATATTTACCTGTATCACAGGATGTGATTTAGGGCACAACAGAATTATGACATGCTTTATATATATATATATATAAATTTTTACTACTCTATGATTTTTATACACCTATCAAAACTTTGATGGGACATATGTCAAATATTCTCTATGTAAGGTGTTGTCATTCCATCCATCCATTTGTTGTAAACTTTTAATTTTTAGGAGATTTTTTCCCAGTTTTCTACCCATCTTTTCCAAACTTGGTAGACTTAATCATCATGATATGAAGTTGTGTTTTCCTGAATGGGAGATTGATTTGACATAATTGTCATGAAAAAGTTACTACTCCTTTTTGTTTTCATAACATTAATTTTTTTTTGGAGATCATCTCTATTTGCTTTTTTAACAAATTTCTTTCAATTTTGGGGGGCTTAATCACTATGACATTAAGTGGTGTTTTGGTATGGCTGTATTGGAATTAGCTACTTCCCCTTATTAATTTCATAATGTCGATCTTGTCCGAAGCTCACCTCTTAATTTCAATGGGTTTCTTTCAAGCATGATATGCAGATGTAACCATAACGTGAAGTTGTGTTTTCCTTCACAGCAGGTTGACTTGACTGTATTTAGAAGAGATATTGCCCGTTATTGTTTTCATAATGTTAGCTTAAAACCACCATGACATGAAGTTAGTTTTCCACACGGCATTTTGATTAAGATATTTTTGAAGGATTTATTGCCCTTTGTTCTTTAGCAATTCATTTGGTTGGAGTTTTTCCCTCTCTCAGTTGGTCACCAATTTCTCTAAAATTTGGTAGGATTTATAACCATTATATGAAATGATGTGTCCTTACTTGCATTGTGATTTCACAATTTTTGAAAGCGTTATTGCCCCTTTTTTATCAACTTTTTATCACATCCAGATATCCCTTCCCTCAGTTTTCAACCATTTTGTGTTATTTATTTTTTTTAGGATTGTTAGGCTTGAAATCCACAATATGAGATTATTCTCATAAATGATATTTTGATTTAACAATATTTCAAAACGTTTTTGTTCTTTGTTCTTTTCATCATTTTAATCTTGTGCAGTGATATGTCTTTTTCTTTCAGTTTACCACCAATTTCTTTAAAATTTAGTATGCTTTGATTTAATTACCACCAAAAAGAATTAGCACTATTATCCCTCTTGACATTTTGACTCGTTATTTCCATTTCCAGTTTTGAATTCTTTTTAATACAACAAATCCTGAATATTTCTTTGGCATGGTACAGGCAAATATTATTCTACTCCACAGTACAGCTGTTAAGACAGAATAAACTGTAATTGGGGAGGATAAATGTGACTGGTTATGCTTTTTCAGATGGTCTGCTTCTAGGGATAAAGGGCATATATTAGGGAATAAAACCTGTAAAAAGTTCTGCTCTTTTGGCTTGGATAACAAATTTGAACATTTGGTCTGGAGCATGACTACAGGTAAAGAACACAATGACACCAATGTTGAACAAAATACAGGTTTTGCTTTGTTCTAGAAACAGAAGCCACCTGGCTTACAGGGTTAATTGAATTGTAGTTCACTCTTCCATGGGCTTCATATCATACTTCACTTGGACCCATTAGGGAAATCATTTCAGAATTTATTTATCCTATTTGAAACTCTTTGTTGAGTGAGTAACTGAATTAGCCAGGTGAACGATGCAGGCCCCTTGGGGATCTTCATTTTGCATGCAATTGATTGTGTCTCTCATTCAAAGTTTTGAATATATAGTATCAATACATTAACCTTTCTGTAATTTAAGTAATTTGGTTATTCCTCTCCTCAAATCTACCCTCACCTGTTTTTGGATAATCTCTTTGAGATTTTGACCGCAGCGACAGAGTCTGATATATATTTTGTAGTGACAGTTTGATTGTTTCATGATCGTACAACAATGTAAGCCACTTTTGCATGGGAGCTGAGGACAAATATTGTTCCAATACATGACATTCTCGTTGAAATGTTTTATAAGAATATGTGAGTCATAAAAACTAAAAATATACAATTTTGAGAATTGACATATGCTGTGAACCATATAGAAGGAAATTAATAGAGGTCAGAATTCATTCAACCTAAATTTAATGGCTTGACAATTCTACTGTGATTATCCAAGAGAAGAATAGACAACATCTGACATTTCCTATTATTAACTTGGAAAAAATTATATTTATTTGAATTGTGTAAGAATATAGTTACTGATCTGAAACAGAACCCTGGCTTGAATGAAATACAATACATGTTTGATCCTTGTCATGTCAAAGTATAAAGTCACACTCATATAAAATTGTTCAACCAGCTTTTGTTAAAGTTCTTTTATGATAAAAGATGGTTTTCATATATATTTATTTAATGCTGTCTTCACTGGCCCAGTACTAGGACAATTTAATATCTGTATGGAATTGCCTTATATTTTACTGTGACATCAGTGTGAGCACAAACAATTATTCATGTATATATATCTCAGTACTGTTTACTGTAACGGTTGTAGAGGTTAATCATCAGTGTTTACCAGTGATTATGAGGTTGATCGTTAATGTTTACTATAATGGTTATAGAGACTGAGTGTTTTTATTGTTAAAGTTGGCTTATTAAGGTCATACACACCACAATACACCATCCTGTACATGTCTCAGATGAAAATTGAAATAAAACTTTGGTATGGTTCTGAGATTTGAATTTTTGAGTTCTTTGTACCTTAAGTTGAAAATTTTGTGAATTTTGAGTTTTGGAAGCTGTGAATCAGTTACTATTTGCAATTTTAGCCCACCGTCATTGGATGGCAGACAAGCAGCCATCTTGGATTACACCTAGTAATGTTTGTTATCCCTTTTTCTAAAGAAGTCCTGTACGGAACTCTCTAATTTCATTTATAGGTTTCCTGACAGGACAGGATTTTCACTTTGAAAGTTTGTCATCACTATTTCTAGAGAATTAATGTGTTGATCTTTTCTCAAATTTCAAGTGTAGGGGCCCCTTGGTCTGTGGTTGCTCTTGTTTGATTTTGGGTCTGATCAGAAAAACTTAATGGCCAACAGGCAGCCATCATGGATTTTGTCTTAGAAAGTTTATTATCACTATTTCTTGACGACTACAGGTTAGATTTTTCTCTAATTTTGTGTATCCCTTGTTGAGCCTGTTGATTTTTGTACTGTGTCAGGAAATGAAAATGGGCAACAGAAGGCCATCTTGGATTTTGATTTTGAAAGTTTGTTATTGCAATTTCTTGAGCAATATTGCAGATATTTATCAGAATCCAGGTATAGGTCTTTTTGCTCCTAGTTGTGTCTGTTTGAGTTTAGGACTGATCAGAAAAAGAAAATGGCCGATAGGAAGCCATCTTGGATTTCACCTTGTAAAGATTATCATACCTAATTCTTAAGAAGCCCTGAATGGATCTCTCTTAAATTTCATACGTATGTTCCATTGTGCCCATTTGATTTTGAGACTTGATTAAAATATAAAATGACTTCCAGGTGACCATCTTGGATGTGACAGGTATATACCTTATCAACACTATTTCTGCAAAGGAATGTTCAAATTTATTATCATTAAGAGCAAAAACAGGGAAGAGAAGAGAAAAGAAGGGAAAAGATCGAACTTTCAAAGAGCATCTGGCATCTCTTGTCTTCTTACTTAATACTACTGATTGATATAAACATTTCAGTCCTCCTAGTTTTAAATTACTTTAAAATGAGCAAATATACTTAGGAAATTCAAACCAGTCATTCCTGAACTCCATCGATGTTGATCATCTTTGCCATTTTTATATCAATAAATTGCTTTCCTTTATTGTTTAATTTTTGGCCGGGTTGCACATAGTACAAATCCGGGTTATAGTATGGTGAATGTCGGGCAGGCGGGGAAGAAGGGTACCAGTTTTGTAGAATCAACTTCTAGAGTTTTTGATGTAGAAGCTTGAAACTTTGTAGGATGTTTATATATATGTTGAAGATGTGCACCTCCTATTATGGAGTCATTCCGGACATTTTTCTTGATTTTCCGGGCTTTGGAACTTAGTCACTTTCTGAAACTTTTCTTGTTATCACAGTTTCTCAGAAACTACTACAAACTGCACCATTTTATAAAATACAACCAAACTTTCTCTCTTATTACAAATATTCTTCATACTCAACAAATGAAACACCCTTAACTGTCTTATAAATACCATGTAACATTGCACTCATCCCACAACCTGGCCAATTGTGGCTTTGCCCCATTTTTTAATTATTTTTGCTTATCGGCCCTTTACTGCTTATGACTGCACTCTTTGAATCTATGATAATTAAGCAATGGTACATATAATGCACTAATACAATAATTGTATACCAGAATCAACCTTGCTATGATTATGAGTAGAGATGATAATGGATCCAGTGGGATGTTCATTTACAAGTAAAGACGATATGTATGTATGACGAGATCTTGGCGTTGGGTCTATTATGATCTGTGTCAGTCCAATGAGCAGGTTCACACTAACTCCTGCATACAACAAAGAAAATCAGTTTAGCGGAAGAATATGTCCTTTAGATTTTAAAAACCATTTAATTAGAGATTGTTTTGTTGAGAACATCTTAGTACATCAAAGTATAGGGGTCACTGCATGCCTAGGCTTCGTAACCTCAACAATAAAAGGAACAAGAACAGGCACATTTAATGTTGTGTTTCTGAAGTTTGAATTTGATCTAAACATACATCCAGATGGGTTTTAAATCAGGTTTTGATGTATGTTCTTTTATTTTCCATCAAATTAATATGTGTATGTTATGTTAGAAAAAGTTATTTCTGTGAAATTGTGACAGATTATGCCTCCAACCCTACAAACCCTGGAAAAAGAAAATGTACTAAAACTAATTTGTTTTGTCCTTATAACTGATCTGCATGCCAGTTTTCATCATGGTCATTTGTGTAGATAATTTGTAAGGTATATAAATCATGTTTCATTAATTTAAATCTTCAAACAGAGTTCTCCAACATGTTCATGTCAGCTTATATATATATATATAGGGGTCGACAAGTAGGAGAACAGAACAGATAACACCATTGCAGAGAAACAGACCAAAACCATCATTAAGATCAAAGTCGTTGTCTTTAATTTTCTTCCGTTTAATATGTTTACCAATTTAATACATCAGCACCTGCTTAAATTTGTGTTTTCAAATAACAGGTCATTTCATACACCTTAATGTATTATTCAAGAAATAACTAATTAAACATTTACTTAATTAGTAACGGGTACATGTACACTAACATAATAATAATTAGTGATACTATTACGATAAAGGAAGGCTGCTGTATTTGGAGTCTTTTTTTTTTTTAAATAGATTTGACCAGTATTACCAAAAGAGTGTGCCTTCAGCTTTAGAAACAGTGTGTAATATCTTTCAAGCCTGATGTCACTTTCAGCTGAAAAAATGTTCAAGGAAAAGTTACTTAGATGTAAAATATCTATGCCTAATTTTGTATTTCCAGAAAATACTGATTTTCACAATTTAAATAAATCACTTAATGAAGAGTGCCATTTATTTGTCCAGTAGTTGTAAGTGATCAAATGTGTAATATGTTTATAATGATGGTTTTTTATATTTAGGTTTCTCGTGCCTATTTTTGAGAGACAGCATATAAAAGCGGTGTGTTAATTTGACCTGATTGAGTTATTGTTTTGTGGCTGTTACCTACGTCATTGTCATGGATCAGGTAACCATTAGCAGGGGGCCATAAAAATTGGCAGGCTAATGCAGGCATTTATAACATGGTGATTAAGTTAGATATCTTTCTGAAGGCTTATTGGAAGATGTTCAAATCGTTTGACAAAATAATTTTTTATAAACTTGACAATAAAGCTAAATTTTAAAATTTGATTAAGCAATTTGGTAACATGATTACTGGAAGTCTTTTGGCTGTAAGGTAAAAAAAAACCTGTGAATGCAGCAGTGCATGATGATTTCGTGTCAGTAGGAGGAAAGCTGGGTATTTTTGTAACATAGTGTACCAGTTTTCTGGCCAGTATGTCTTGTTGGTGTTTTTTTTTAAAAAGAGTATGTCTGTCTGCATTAAAAGGGAGATAATTATCACCCATGGCAGACTTAGTTGGTTATGTTTAATAGCATTTAAAACAAACAATGATTTCATGTCATTACATTGTATAATATGTTAATGAAATATTGGTCAGGTGAAAAATAAACAAAAATAACTAAATTAAAAATCGTTCATTTTTAATTAATTTACCAAGAATTGAATAACAAATTAAAAAGATGATATATTGGCCTGATATCAATACATTAATTCTTTGTTACCAAACCAATGACCCTAGAAATATTATCTACAAAATGATGTAGTAGACTGTCCTGTTTATGACACAATATTGCGATTAACCTTGAAAATACTGAGTGCAGCAGTGCGTATTAAGACATAAATAGAAGTTATTTGTGCAATAACTAATTTTGTAGGTCAGAGTTTAGCACTTGGTGATTATAATTTTTCATAGTATACTCAACATTTACAGCAAGAGATCGGTATAAAAAATGAGTTCTCCTCATTTTAGAAGAAATATTAATAATGTTGTCTCTACCTGTCATTCTGTGCTAATTCAGTTTCCACTTAATCACTGTTTGATAGGTGGAAATATTGAGCAGCAAATGATGTATTGTTGAATACTGCAAAGATGCAGGTCAATTTTTTTTCTGGTTCCTATCAACTCCTTTTTCAGAGTTGTGGCCTTTTAATTAAAAGAAATAAACTTGTTCTCAGTAAGTGGTCATTTTGTCAGTGCTAGAGGGGAACAGCAATTGGAGGTTTTGTTGTTTTATGAAAAAATATAGGTCCAGTTAATATTTGGTTCAAGTCTACCAAGAAGTCTGCCACTTAGAACTGAGAGAACTATAGTGTTGTGTTTTGTCCATCTACTATCCATCTGTTTGTCTGTCTGTCCATCTGTCTTTCAACACATTATCTTGTCCAGACTCTGTCTCTGGAAGTCTTTTGGCAGTAAAGTAAAAAAAAAAAACAAAAACCTGTGAATGCAGCAGTGCATGATGATTTCGTGTCAGTAGGAGGAAAGCTGGGTATTTTTGTAACATAGTGTACCAGTTTTCTGGCCAGTATGTCTTGTTGGTGTTTTTTTTAAAAAGAGAATGTCTGTCTGCATTAAAAGGGAGATAATTATCACCCATGGCAGACTTAGTTGGTTATGTTTAATAGCATTTAAAACAAACAATGATTTCATGTCATTACATTGTATAATATGTTAATGAAATATTGGTCAGGTGAAAAATAAACAAAAATAACTAAATTAAAAATCGTTCATTTTTAATTAATTTACCAAGAATTGAATAACAAATTAAAAAGATGATATCATATTGGCCTGATATCAATACTTTAATTCTTTGTTACCAAACCAATGACCCTGGAAATATTATCTACAAAATGATGTAGTAGACTGTCCTGTTTATGACACAATATTGCGATTAACCTTGAAAATACTGAGTGCAGCAGTGCGTATTAAGACATAAATAGAAGTTATTTGTGCAATAACTAATTTTGTAGGTCAGAGTTTAGCACTTGGTGATTATAATTTTTCATAGTATACTCAACATTTACAGCAAGAGATCGGTATAAAAAATGAGTTCTCCTCATTTTAGAAGAAATATTAATAATGTTGTCTCTACCTGTCATTCTGTGCTAATTCAGTTTCCACTTAATCACTGTTTGATAGGTGGAAATATTGAGCAGCAAATGATGTATTGTTGAATACTGCAAAGATGCAGGTCAATTTTTTTTTTCTGGTTCCTTTCAACTCCTTTTTCAGAGTTGTGGCCTTTTAATTAAAAGAAATAAACTTGTTCTCAGTAAGTGGTCATTTTGTCAGTGCTAGAAGGGAACAGCAATTGGAGGTTTTGTTGTCTTATGAAAAAATATAGGTTCAGTTAATATTTCATTCAAGTCTACCAAGTAGTCTGCCACTTAGAACTGAGAGAACTGTAGTGTTGTGTTTTGTCCATCTACTATCCATCTGTCTGTCTGTCCATCTGTCTTTCAACACATTATCTTGTCCAGGCTCTGTCTCCTTCACTACTTTCACTTGAACATACTTTTGGCATGGAGATCACCTGAGTGAAATGGTGTGTTATGTACTAGAAGTTCAGTTTGATCTACATTTTGACCATTGATCTACAAAGAAAAAGGTTGTTTGGGCTCTCTTTCCAACTCTACCAATCACTGGAACTTAATACTAAGATCATGGGTTGACCAAGGTGAGGCAGTGTTTGTACTTTTGACCTGAATTAGATATGGCCGATGCCATCAATTTAAATTAGTGCCATACCTTCCTAGAATACATTGTTGGTGATACCACTATTTGTTTGGGACTTCAGATAGTGCTTTATGAAATTAGTGATTTGAATTCATTCATTCACACTGAAACCACCAAATACAATTAAATGCAATTGTAAAGTAACAATATATATAATACATGGTGTCACCAGATGAAATTTGATAGCAAAATGGCACAACTTACCGGTATACATCCAGCAGATTCATTTACAATCCTTATTGATCAAAGTGGATCTCTCAATCATTCAGTGTCTAGAATTAGTTCCTGCATCAACTCATCATCACTTTATTCTTGGCATATCATTCAACATTTGGTATTTGACTGTAATTCACTGGATTGGTTTCTTATTTCTAGAGTTATGGCCCTTGCTTGTACAAAAGACAAGTTAATTGCACCTTTTAAAACAATTTAGAATTAGATAGAGTAGAGCATAAGAATGATACATCACAGATGACCAGTTTTGATGCACTGTTAAATGGTTAATAATTAAATACACGTAAAGGTACAGTGTAATAAGATTTGGTTTTTTAGCCCACCATCTAATAGATGGTGGGTTATTCAAATCGCCCTGCGTCCGTGGTCCGTTGTCCGTGGTCCGTGGTCCGTCCGTCCGTAAACAATTCTTGTTACCGCTATTTCTGGAAAAGTACTGGATGGATCTTTCTCAAATTTCATATGCAGTTTCCCCTTGGTCCCTAGTTGTGCATTGTATCTTTTTTGGACTGATTCGAATTCAAGATGGCCGACAGGAGGCCATCTTGGATTTTGGAAGTAAAAGTTTGTTACTTCTATTTCTTGGAAAGTACGGGATGGATCTTTCTCAAATTTCATATGCAGTTTCCCCTTAGTCCCTAGTTGTGCATTGTACCTTTTTTGGACTGATTCGAATTCAAGATGGCCGACAGGTGGCCATCTTGGATTTTGGATGTAAAAGTTTGTTACTGCTATATCTGAGGAAGTACTGGATGGAGCCTTCTGATATTTCATAGATATTGGGTTTCCCTTGGTCCCTAGTTATGCATTGTACCTTTTTTGGACTGATTTGAAATCAAGGTGGCCCACAGGCAGCCATCTTGGATGTCGACAGTAATACAGCACAAGCATATTGTCCATTATCCACCTTTAACTGACTGCTAACTAATAATACTTTGGGATCTTTTTCAAATGATATTTGCTAATAGGTGCTTAAGAAAAATATCTTGTGCCATCATTGAGTACATTCAATGAAGACCAGTTCATGAACATTTACAACACCTGTCACAAACAAAAAAAAAAATAAACAAATCTTCAAGAACTGAAAACAGATCCTCAAATGGTGGGCGCCAAGATCCCTCTGGGATCTCTTGTCTATATTTACCATGACATTTTTGGGCACACTTTCTAATTGTTAATAACAATATTTATGTAATTGTTTGGTGTAATAGCATTTTTCTTCTCTATATTTAACATTGTTATTCCTGTTGTGTAGTTTACAGGTGTTAGCTGATAATTTAGTGGTGTCTGTTAACGAGGACTATCTAGAGGCAGGACAAGAAGTACACCTGAATCCGGGTGATGAGGTAGCTGTGATCCCACCGATCAGTGGAGGATAGACAGGTGTGTTGTAAAAGTACCACATACACAGGTAAAAAAGTAAATAAACAGGCACTTAATATAGAGTTGGATAAACAGGTGTACCAAATTGATACACCAGCACCAAATGTATAGGTAAAACTCACAAAAAATTAGATACACAAAGCGACACATGTACAAGTATATTCACAAACAAATTTACAGGTTGTACTTGGAAGAAAGTAAATATGCAATGTGCTTTGGTGAAAGTAAAAAAAAATTGCTCAAGACATAGGAAACACCAGGGTATAGTATAGGGTGGTAGTAATTAAAAATTCAAATGAAAATTACGGATATTCAATTTCCAGTGGAATTTTAAATCCACACTTTGCAATATTCAACTGTCAATTTCGTTTCCTTTGCATTTTTTTTTTTTTTAACATTTTCTTGATGAAAATCATTCATCAAAATTCTTAAAAGTTTACAGAATGAAATCAGAATTAGGGCTTACTTCCCTCAATGATTCTTATATTCCATTCTTATTGCGAGTGGAGAGAGTCAGCTTGACTAATGATGGTGATATTTTATAGTCAACATAGTTTACAATATTAGTTAACAAGATAAAGACAGCATGATATCATACAGTCAACATAGTTTATGATGTTGGTTAATGAGATATAAACAGCAGGATATTAACAGGGAGATATTACATCACAGATTATAATTGTTAGTCAGCAGGTTATTAACAATAATCCTACAACAAGGGCTATGATATTGCTGAGCATGATGTTATAATGATGATATTACAACACCAGTAATGATATTGGTTAGTGTAATATTAACAGAGTGATACTTCATCATGGGGTATAATGTTGGTAAGTTAGATGGGTGATGCTACTTCACAGGATATGATATTGGTTAGTATTATATTAACATCGGATACTACAACACAGATTAGGATGTTGGTTAGTTGGTTGTTAACAGGGCAATACTACAGAATGGGTTATAAAGTTGGTGAGTGTGATATTAATAGGGTGATACTACAGAATGGGTATGATGTTGATGAGCATGACATTAATAGGGTAATACTATAGAATGTGCTATGATGTTGATGAGTATGATATTAACAGGGTGATACTACATCATAGGTATGGTGTTGATGAGCATGATATTAACAGGGTGATATACATCATGAGTATGATGTTGATGAACATGATATTAACAGGGTGATAGTATACTATAGAACGGGAATGATGTTGATGAACATGATATTAACAGGGTGATAGTATACTATAGAACGGGAATGATGTTGATGAACATGATATTAACAGGGTAATACTATAGTACAGGTTGTGATGTTGACTTTGATGCTTTTATTGATGTTTTATGTGTTATATTCAGGATGGACCATGTGGACATAACTGAAGACAGGATCAATGCAGACGTTACTTCTAAACTTGTATCTTCTCCAGCATGTGGAGCCATATCTGTCTTCATAGGTATGTATATAGACCTTAGAAAGTGTGGCCCACTTGTATCAGATTGAGATATTATATGATTGTAGTTACTTGTGATGTAAGTTCTTTTTCTGGGATATAGATGTCTCCAATACCTGTAAGTCGACTGTTAAGAAATCACAGGTTTCATTTTGATCTTCATAACTTTGGATACTGTGATGAATAAACCAGGCTGTAAAAAGCACAATTCTGCTTGTGTATCAGTGAACTACCCATCTAACCAAACTGACAGGAGGTTTGCCATCTAAATATAATACCAGGAAGCAGTGTATGATTATTTCATACTAACATCATCCTTTCAATGGATTTTTCTTATAACCTGTTTTCATTGAACGTAGATTGATTCTTCAAAATGTTAAAAAGATGACTTGATGTTTAGAATGGGTTAATAAAAAAGTAATGAAATGATATTTGTTGGTGTAAGATGGGATGGGGAGGTGGTCTTATTTTTAGTCTGCCAGACTCAAAGGGTCGAGTGAACTGTAGGGATACTGCGGCATCTCTTTTCTGGCATCTGTCTTCAGACATTGCGGCATCCATCATCAGTTGTCCATCCATCATGTAGTGTCTGTTAACTTTTCTACATAATCATGAACGACTGAGGGGATTTTGACCATATTTAACCAAAAGCATCCTTACAGGAAAGGGAACATTTTTGTATGATTTGTAAATTTTGCCTATTTTTGGTCAGAAAAATGGTTGATCTCACGACCCTCTGGGGCAGGAGGATGGGGCCAAATAGGGGTAATAGAACAAACATTTTTAAAAATCCTACTCCTCCTGTAAGAATGATTGTACTTGGCACAAATTTTGTTTGAAGGATCTTTGGAAGAAGGGTAATCAATTTTGTATATTAACAGTAGATCTTGCCCCCCTGAGGGGGAAAGGGCATGGTCAAATATGGGTAATAGAGGAATTTGGTCAGAAGCAACTTTGGGCAAAGGGAAATCAATTTTCTATAAAAGGTGGATCTCAGCACCTTGGGAGGGGGAAGAAATAGGGCAAATTCTTGAAATTCCTGGGCACACTCGTGATGTAGGAATTGGCCTTGGGGTCTGATCCCATTCCTAGGGACTCAGTTTCATGGTAATTAATATCTTTGAAACAGTTGAGATCCCGAACCCTAAATCTTACATAGCAATGGGCATCAAGAGATAAAAACATTCACAATGTAAGAACTGGCCCTTGATTTATAGAATTGTTTGGCAACAAGAGATTAACATATTTGTTATTCAAGAAATGACCCTTGGGTATGGCATGTTTTTTTATATAGTTGAGATACCAACCCATATACCATATAAACTCTTAATGAGAATCAAGAGAGAAAGACAGTAATGATATAGGAATTTTACCCGTTGGTCTTGTGGCTTCAAAGAGGTTAAATAACTGAGCTTTAATTTGGAAATAACACTGCTGGGTTAAAGATTAAGGTGAGTGATAAAAGCCCTATCATCTATATGTACTTTTAATACATACTCTGATGGTGTATGTAATGGTACTCTGTTATCATAAACATATGTTGTTATCATAAACATACACTGTTATCATAAACATACGCTGTTATCATAAACATACCCTGTTATCATAAACATATGCTGTTATCATAAACATATGCTGTTATCATAAACATACCCTGTTATCATAAACATATGCTGTTATCATTAACATACACTGTTATCATAAACATACATTGTTATCATAAACATACCCTGTTATCATAAACATATGCTGTTATTGTATATGTTCCCTGTTATCATTCAATCATGCCATTTCCTATATATATATAGCCTGTGCATCATGTTACTTTCCTTCCTTCATTAAACAGAGTTTCACTACAATACAATGTAGGTTTTAAGACAAGTATGTATTATTTGGTACTAAAAAAAAAATCATTAAAATCTCAGGGAAGATTTCACTTTGATATCAAATCAATGACCAATCATCAAACCCAGTCAACTTCATCCTGAACCAAATATGTAGGGGTTTAATGTTGTATGACTGTAGAATTCCTATTGTTTTCCCACTGCTCTCAGATCTCTTGTAGATAGCCCACAGATAAGTCATGGTTATATATAGTATAGGTATAATCTCTCCATCACACTCGAGAAAAACTTACTGTGGATTAACTTGAAGGAACTTCACTTTGATCAAAGAGAAAAATTAATTTCAAATTACATCAGTAAAAATTCACATTTCATTGCCAATAATAAAATAGATTGTATGTGGTTTTTCTTTTTTCTGATGCTGATTATGTGTAAGTTGAGTTCTTTGTAGTTCTTATGCATAATTTAAAAATTCTCCAGGAAAAAGTTACTTCAGACAGACAAAAACCTTTTATTGAGTGTATGAACTTGACATAATTGTGTATTGTTGTGTTTCCAAAGGCAGACATTACTATAGTGTAATCATAACTGTCATTAACAATGTAAATCCTATCTGGAATTTACTGTATAGATGTTTGTTTGTTGTGGAAAAGTACTACAAGGTCCTGGAAAATTTCTTAAAGCCAGCAGAAAAATGATAGACTATCACTGAGAATGAAAATAAAGGCCTTTCTGGAGTAATTAATAAGGTAAAGGTTATCATCAGGTTAGCAGAAAGATGTAGGTTATCATCAGGTTAGTAGAAAGATGTAGGTTATCATCAGGTTAGTAGGAAGATGTAGGTTATCATCAGGTTAGTAGAAAGATGTAGGTTATCATCAGGTTAGTTGAAAGATGTAGGTTATCATCAGGTTAGCAGAAAGATGTAGGTTATCATCAGGTTAGTAGAAAGATGTAGGTTATCATCAGGTTAGTAGAAAGATGTAGGTTATCATCAGGTTAGTAGAAAGATGTAGGTTATCATCAGGTTAGTAGAAAGATGTAGGTTATCATCAGGTTAGTAGAAAGATGTAGGTTATCATCAGGTTAGTAGAAAGATGTAGGTTATCATCAGGTTAGTAGAAAGATGTAGGTTATCATCAGGTTAGTAGAAAGATGTAGGTTATCATCAGGTTAGTAGAAAGACGTAGGTTATCATCAGGTTAGTAGAAAGACGTAGGTTATCATCAGGTTAGTAGAAAGATGTAGGTTATCATCAGGTTAGTAGAAAGGTGTAGGTTATCATCAGGTTAGAAAGACGTAGGTTATCATCAGGTTAGTAGAAAGATGTAGGTTATCATCAGGTTAGTAGAAAGATGTAGGTTATCATCAGGTTAGTAGAAAGATGTAGGTTATCATCAGGTTAGTAGAAAGATGTAGGTTATCATCAGGTTAGTAGAAAGATGTAGGTTATCATCAGGTTAGTAGAAAGATGTAGGTTATCATCAGGTTAGTAGAAAGATGTAGGTTATCATCAGGTTAATAGAAAGATGTAGGTTATCATCAGGTTAGAAGAAAGATGTAGGTTATCATCAGGTTAGTAGAAAGGTGTAGGTTATCATCAGGTTAGTAGAAAGATGTAGGTTATCATCAAGTTAGTAGAAAGATGTAGGTTATCATCAGGTTGGTAGAAAGATGTAGGTTATCATCAGGTTAATAGAAAATATTGAGGTTATCATCAGGTTAGTAGAAAGATGTAGGTTATAATCAGGTTTGTAGAAAAGTTGAAGGTTATCATCAGGTTAGTAGAAACTTGAAAGTTATCATCAGGTCAATTGAAAAGGTGAAAGTTAACATCAGGTTAATGTGAAGTTTATTATTACTAACCAGTTGATATTAAGACTTATTAAGGCTATTGAATCTTTTTTTACAGGTACGACAAGAGATAACTTTGGCGGGAAGAAAGTCTTACGTTTGGAGTATGAGGCCTATATTCCAATGGCCAAGAAAAAGATGATGGAAATTTGTCATCAGATACGTGATAAGTGGGACATACACAAAATAGCAATGGTACACCGTATTGGGTAAGGATCAGTGTGTTATACCTGTAGACTACTGACAAAATATTTGTTATTCATTATAGAAGTGATCAATCAGTTTATAATTATGAAGTATTATATTATCCATATCTTCTACCTTCTTTGCTGATGGAAGGTTACAAAACATCTACTACATGTACTAACTGATGAAGCTGATGTGATAATGTTTTAGAAGATTCGTTTTAAATTTAGATGGGTTATGGTTGGCTGTTGTTAGTCAAAGATTAAAGTAAGTTACCACCTTCTACTTGTGGTTAATCTAGTAGGTGTATTTACTAAAATGTTGATTAAACCCTTACTTCCATTATTAGGCCAGGATGACCTATTGCCATTATATTTCACTCATTGTTCGGCACTGTCTGCCATATGTAATTTTTCCATTCAAGCGACTTCTTCTCAGTTGCTGAAAAGCCTAGGGTTCTTATATTTAGCCTGTAGCATGCTGGGATGAAGGACTACCAACTTATTAAAATAAATTACCTTGGTCTACTTCAAGGTAGCAGGGGTAAAAGTATGTTAAAATCTTTGATTTGAAAATGCCCAGTTTGCTGATATTGTGCCAGAATCATGCTTGGATGGAGGACTATTAAGTTTGTTCAGTTGAATAACCTTGACCATTTTTTCACATTCACAGGGGTCAAATATGTTAAATCCTTAGCCATTAACCAGAAACCCCAGACTAAGGCTGTTGAGCCTGTTGCATGCTGGGATAAAGGGTTTTCACGTTTATTCAAATAACTTATATTGACCCCATTTTCAAGGTACCAGGGGTTAAATGTGTTAAAATCTTTATACAACTTCTTAGTAACCAAAAGGTTAGGGTGCTAATATTGGACCCATAGCATGCATGAATAATGGGCTATTATGTTTTATAAAGTGAATGGCCTGGACCCACTTTCAAGGTCATTGGTGGCAAATGTGTTAAAATTATTTAAACAACTTATTCTCAATAGCCAAAAGGTCCAGACTGCTGATATTAGGCCTGTAGCATACTGGGATAATGGGCTACCAGGTTTGTTAAAATAAATGGCCTCAACCCATTTTCAAGGTCATAGGGGTCACACATGCTGAAATATTGAAGCCATTTCTTTTCAAAAATTCAAAAGACCCAGGATGCTGATATTGGGCCTGTAGCATACCAGGATGAAGGGCTACCAACTTTGTTTCAATAAATGAGCTAGACCTACTTTGAATATCAGTGCGATCAATTGTGTTAAATTCTGCAAGCAACTTCTTTATAAAAAGATCAAAGCTATGGAAATCGGTTCTGTGATATAGTTTGATTAAGGGCTACCAAATTAATTTAAATGATTGGCCTTGACCCATTTTCAAAGTCATTTTGGTCTAATATGTCGATAACATAAGAAATGTTCTTTGAACAAGCCATTGGTCCTAGATCATGATATTTGTGTTGTAACATACTTGAGGAATAGGATTTTAAGTTTATGAACTGGCAAACTTCTATATATAAGCTGTTAATGTTAAGGCCCATGGGTCTCTTGTTGTTACTGAGATTATGAATCTTTGTGCCTTGGGGCCACATTACTCCAGTTGCTTTGGACAGCCTTCCCATGTTGTTCACTGAGATAGCTACTACAAGGAGACCCTGCTTTGAAATGACACTGGCTTTAATTCACAGGGTCATAAATACATTAAACTGAAATACACAAATTACTTGTTAAATTTTCTGCATTTGGAGAGAGTTTTAGAAGGCTATCATCAATCTGATTGTCTAAGAGGAAAAACAGTTTAGTAAATGGCACTACAGACTTGGTGTGATTCTCTACTTGTTTCGATTGATACAACAGTGATGAATAATTTAGATCTGTACACAGGATAATATATGTACTTATAGATATATCAGTGACACAGTGTTGTGAAGATAATGACGCCTGATCTGTCACTTTTTACAATATAAAATATCATACATGGAAGCCACTATACCGACACATGTCCAGTCTTACATTATCTATATCAGTTTTTCCGCAATATTTTTTGAGTCTACAGAGTTTTACGATTCATGAGGTTGATTTTACAATATAAGGTCTTCTCATTGTTATAGAACACCAATGAAAGTATAATTACCTACTAGGGGAGGTATGATGTGATAAATATTTAAAACAAATTTGAGTAGTTTTTCCAACATGGCTCATTTGTTTGTGTGTACCCTGTGACCGATGCTCTTATGATAACAAGGCGGGACTTGGCATTATCTATTCTCTTTATAGCTATTCAATGTATTATATGGTATGGTACTGTTTCATTCATTGATTTTGATGTGGACGTCTTCTCTTTCAGGATCATTCTGATTAATTGGTCCGTTTTTACTGTAGGTGTTTTAACATTACAAATGGTTGAAAATTTGATACAATTATCATAGACAATTTTACTACATGTATATATCACCATTGATGGTACAAGTTGGTAAAAGATTGACCAAGCGTTTGTATAGAAGGCTTATGTTAAGAAGGTATTGATTTCCTTATCAAAACAAGAGAAAAGTGATCTCAATTTCTTTTAAAAGTTTTTGAGTGAGGAATATAACAACATAGCTGTCAGGGATCCTCATCCACACCATCTGTGGTTGTGATCATGTTTGTTAGGTTAATTCGTTATCACGGTGATCGTCAGTTTAGGTCTGTTGTAAAGATGAAATTGTTACTGGGATGATATTCTCTATAGGTCTGTTGTTAGGATGAAATTGTTACTGGGATAATATTCTCTGTAGGTCTGTTGTAATGATGAAATTGTTACTGGGATGATATTCTCTGTAGGTCTGTTGTTAGGATGAAATTGTTACTGGGATAATATTCTCTATAGGTCTGTTGTTAGGATGAAATTGTTACTGGGATGATATTCTCTGTAGGTCTGTTGCTAGGATGAAATTGTTACTGGGATAAAATTCTCTATAGGTCTGTTGTTAGGATGAAATTGTTACTGGGATAATATTCTCTGTAGGTCTGTTGTTAGGATGAAATTGTTACTGGGATAATATTCTCTGTAGGTCTGTTGTTAGGATGAAATTGTTACTGGGATAATATTCTCTGTAGGTCTGTTGTTAGGATGAAATTGTTACTGGGATAATATTCTATATTGGTCTGGTATTAGGATGAAATGGTTACCAACATAATATTCTATATTCTATATTGGTCTGGTATTAGGATGATATGGTTACCAACATAATATTCTATATTCTATATTGGTCTGGTATTAGGATGAAATGGTTACCAACATAATATTCTATATTGGTCTGGTATTAGGATGAAATGATTACCAACATAATATCCTATTTTATATATTGGTCTGGTATTAGGATGAAATGGTTACCAACATAATATTCTATATTCTTTACTGGTCTGGTGTTAGGATGATATGGTTAGGAGTGTAATTGTAAGTACAGGTCTGTATTGTTATTCAACCAATCAATGGACCCATAAAACTGAAGTGTATTAAAAGCATTTCTGTCTTTACAATTTTGGTTCCAGTCCATGAGGGAGAAAGGTGTCTGTCTGTTTACATCAATTACCCATTGGAACTACTGTTGTTAGCCATTATAATGATAATTTGATTATGTCCTGTTTCGATTTTTCATGGTAATGATTTGTTTCAGTGGATCCAATACATTTTTTCTTTGATCTGTTCAGCAATTGATTTCTATTTGTCATCATTACCAGGAAATAGAAACATAAGAGCTCACCTTTACACATTAAAATACTCTCTCAAGGAGGAAGTAGACGAGTGTTTTCTGATCGCTGAATACCTTCACCTACATGTACACTTATGTTAAAGTGTGTACCTTATGCTTGCCTCTACACTTTCATCTGATCACATGAAGGAGTTTATTGAACCAGTTTATCTCTTGTGCCCTGTCTCCCCGTTTCTTCCCTTGTTTTTCTGCCTTGTCTCCCCATTTCTTCCCTTGTTTTTCTGCCTTGTCTCCCCATTTCTTCCCTTGTTTTTCTGTATCCATTCAGTGGTAGAGTATATCAAACCTGTCAGACTTTCTATCAGGAAGCAGTTTTTTTACAGTAACTACTGGTGCTTCAAATGTCTGAGGATTTCTAACAGGAAGCAGTTTTTTTACAGTAACTACTGGTGCTTCAAATGTGTGAGGATTTCTAACAGGAAGCAGTTTTTTTACAGTAACTACTGGTGCTTCAAATTTCTGAGGATTTCTCAAAAATTCCATTGGTTATTTCTGAATAATTTGTTCACTTACACAAAGGGCAAGCATGCTTTGTATTGCATGGTGGTCCGATGCCAAAAATTTCAAACATTAACTCCTTCTGGATAACGTTTAGACCAATCCCATAATGGTTGGAAGACATCATGCTCATTTAAATAAATGACCTTGACCAATTTTCAAGGTAATGGGGGTAATATTTGTTAAAATCTTGTAACAACTTCAAACTATGGACATGATATTTGATTATGTTAGGATGAAAGACTATCAAGTTTATTGAAGGAATGACCGTTTTCTACCTCTTTGGAACACTGTCTTCTGATTATAACCAGGAGATGAAGGATTACAGTGTAACAAACTGAAAAGAAAAGGTTAAAAGTTTGATAAAACCATGAAAGTTTCCTGATCAAAGTTATCTCCTCAGTAGCTGGACAGCAGATGAGTGATGCTGGCCATTTTGTTAATTTCCTTTGAGGAAGTCTTGAAGTCTGCATCCATATACAAGTACCTATTGATCCTGTGGTAACACAATACTCATTAAGTCTACTCACTACCTGTGATATGTTTCAAGACAGACTTACATGTGAGGACAGTTCACACTTCCATTTACTCCTCTGTTGAATACAAAAGTGTTCATGCCGAGAAAAAAGATTACAACAACGAATTCATCAGAAAGAGAAGCAAATTAATTAAATGCACACAAATGTTTATGGTATAAAAATGTAGAGTTTTAACTTCATGGAAGTTAAAGGTTGAATATAAATCATTGATAGGTTTGTTTGTGAAGTGGTGTACTTAAAAGGTGTAAATAATTCATGTGACCTACTAATTATCACCAGTCCTGTAACATTAGGGAACATATGAAGTGGAACATCCCAGTAGATGTAATTGATTGCAGCTCTTTCTTCTACTGTTTGCTTGAAGTTGGGATAACTGCTAGAAGTAGCTCATTAGGGGTGTCACGCAAGGTATTTCGACAACTTGGGCCATTGAAATCATCTGTGATCTAACATTGGTTGATAACATGATAAGTCTATATTTGTTTTCATTTCAAAAAACAATTTTTCATTAACTCATTGCAAGGGGAAAAGGGTGCCATAACATCATCTGGTTGGCTTGGTATAGATATTGCAGAGAAAGTAGAATTGGCTTTCATCCATTTCTCAGAATTTATGAAACTTGATATGCGTAATATCATCCTCGATACTCCAGGGGTTATCATGTCAAAATTGAAGGCACAAACAAAGTAATTTGATTGGTTCCAAGAGAAAAAAACTGACCAACTACAGGCTGATATGCTCTTTTGGAAGATTACAAAGGAGCGACACCCAACTACAAAGGCTTTTCGTCTTGTCCACTTGGGTGTTACACATTGAACCTTCAATTTTACCATTACATATCCAGTGGTGAAGAGAGCGAAAGTGATTGTAGCCCCTGGAATATCGAGGATGATATGATACGTGAAAGGAACTTTAATTCAACATTTACCTCAATTTGACACAAGTATATAAATGAGATAGTGGTACAACTGTACATGACACACTGCTTCAACATTCTACATACAAATTGTACATCACCAACAAACATACCTTCCAAGAGTAAGATATTATCAATCGCGGCAGTGGACTTGAACGTTGACCTCAATGTGATCTTGACCTTGGGCACTCTAGATATCACATTGACATCCTCTATTCATCTATTGGTCATACATTTTTTTATCTCAATTTGACCTTCAACTTGAGCATAAACTAAAAAATTATAAACCACACACCCTCTTTACTTCCAATATGTACTTTAAACTGTAATTGACCAATAACTTTCTACAGTGAGTAGAAAGTGATCTCCTGGACTCTGAATATTACAATTAATTTCTGTGACTTTGACCCTGACAACAGACCCAATATCAATACTTGTAAAGTTCCCTATTATTCATCATTTACATTCTTGGTACATCTTAGGCCTTTCTCTGACTTCAATTGTAACTGGAGCAAGTTTGAGGATATCTGGTGTGACAATGATTGTCAAATGGAGGGTCATACATAGTAGCAAATATAGGTTTTAATGAGATGGAGCATAAATCCTAGGCAATGGTCTTCAATTGAAGACACAAGCTATTGGTTTCAAATATATTAGTCATTTAGGTTTCATATTTGATGCCCTGATAATTTCAGTTGTGCTTGAAGTTTGAATTATTAGTTTTCAGAAAGAAACACTAAGTCAGTAAGTTAATCAATTAGGTGTCTCTCAAATTCATATACTAAAGCACATATATTGGCAGTTTAATTCCCAGGGGAAGTAATAGGTAAATTTGTACTCCCACCTGTGTAATGAATTATTCATTGGGACTCAGTAGGCACACACATGGTTTTACAAACACACAGGAAATAGTTAAGGTTTATAAAATGCACTCATTGTAACCTAAGGTTTACTGTTCTGTAAAGTTTCCTTTAAAATGCTACTAGTTCAGAATGGTAAATTGGAACATTGTTGGACCAAAGGGACTGAACATTGTGACAGGTGGCCCATTAGGCCTGTATTGCTCACCTGCTCTACAGCTTTTAAAGACACAATATTATTTGTTAATCCATGTTGTTTCTAAACAAAATACCCCTTCTTTCACTTTATACATGTTGTTGGTAAAATAATGAAAGTCAGGGGGCTCTTGGTTCATAAACCATATCAATTTGAAGATTTGTTATTGAAAAATTGTTCATAGATTTTAACACATTTGACTGATGTGACGTTGAAAGTTGGTTAAGGTAATTTTTCAAACCAGTTTTGGTAGTCCTTCATCCCAGCATGCTACAGACCCCATATATGTACCACAAATCAGCTTCTTTTAAACATTTGACTCCAGTAACCTTTGAAGTCGGTCAATAACAAATAGTAGTCTTTCATCTCTGCATGCTTCTGGACCCATAACATGGCCCTGTACCAGAAGCATGTTTGCCTTTTCAACAAAGTCTGTGATCCCATGAGGAGAGCAAAACCTGCATTGGTGAAAAATGCATTGTAAATCTAGTATATATTCTAGAGATATGACTGGTGAGAATCTCAATATGACATCCTCCTCATCCAATACAATATTGTACCAACAAATTGACTATTATACACTAGAAAGTGGCATACAGATAACAGATCTGGTGAGAACTGCATATATATGTAGTTATAATTTTTATGTGGCATGTTAGTTTGCAGATTTACATGCTGATTGTTTCGACTGTGAATCATTGGCAAATTGAGGGTATGAGATAGTCATATTTCATTAACTCCGTGCTTACTATTGCAGTGTTGTACCAGTGGAAGAGGCTAGCATTATAATAGCTGTGTCATCACCACACAGGAAAGAAAGTCTAGAAGCAGTCAGCTTTGCTATTGATACAGTCAAAGCAGTGGTACCTATATGGAAAAAGGTAGTGTAGGATGACTTATATTTTAAACTAATGTACATAGCCATTTGCTTGTTGGCTTTTAAATCAATCATCTGTGAATCGGCATATTTTCAGTTATATGCTCCAACTATTAACTAGTGGAAAGGAGCTCATAGTTATAGTTTAAAAAATGCATGAATTTTAGAAATAAAATTTATAATTATCAAAATTCAGAGTTTAACTCAAAGCATTATTTAACATTTGACCATCACTGATCTTGTACTTACTTACTGAAAGGTTGTAATAGCAGAAATAACACATGTTAGGTGACAGATGTGATCATTTGTGGGCTATAGGAATAAGGTATTGCATTCCTTGTTCTATTTCTTAAAATATTTTATTATTTTGCAGGAGATATATGGTGATGAAAGCTCAGCCTGGAAGGAAAACAAAGAGTGTGCATGGACTTCTTGATAACATCAGGGTTGTAGTGGATCAAGGTGTTAAACATAAAACCCTGATTATGTATTATTAATCAGATATTGTTAATCAGATATTAAATCTAATTAAGTGAGAACAAGACATTGATTATTCAAACTGTGATAAGTGTCAATCAGAGGTAAGAGAACTTGACAAGATTATTTTTAATCGTAACAGAACATATCAAAACCTAAAAAAAACACATAGGGAAAGGCGAAGGACTGCATGTGTACGAAGGCCCATAACTCTTACACAAAAAATTGATTTAAAATTACAGGTCTCCAAGAAAGGCATGACAAGCAATTTAACCAGAGGTGGAGATAATTTCTACTTGTACAGCATTCTGTCTCTGAAGTGGACAGACAATATCAGAGTTGCTTTTATTCCGATTACAGGAATACATATTATACAACAGTACTCTTTAATACAATGCTGATACATTTCTTATTTGACATCATTCCATGCTTTAATCATGTATTCTGTACTTCATATTTTTAGTACTTGAATTCAGTTGTCAATCCAGGTTGCTTGCATGAACATGCAGACCCCTAAGACTTGTCACTTGGGAATAACTCCATTCTCATGATATCTGTTGTCATTCAACAACCACGGTAACCAACTTTTGTGTACATTGTCACTTATCACATCCATAGGTGTTTGCGGGATTAAATATTTGGTGTCCCAAGTATGATCTAAAATGTTTACATTTTTAATCGGGATGCCTCCGATGTGTAATAGTAATAACCACTATCCAAGTAATCCAAGTAACTGATCACAAAAGTAGTAAATCATACCTACTGTGTGGCATTCAAATTCTATGATTCGTTCATTTTTAACCAATCAGAACATTGCTGAACTAGCACACACGATCTGTCGTATTATATAATTACAAATAAGGCGTGATTTCAAGTTATTAACAAACTAACCTATGATTATTTAATAGTATTTAACATTGTTACTGGCATGCATTCAATGTTTCCAAATAAAACATGGAAAAATCAATGTTATATTGTTTAAGAAATTTATTTTTTGTCAGCGCTTCTTTTTGACAGCAATATTCTCTAGGTTGTGTTGTGTAGACAACTGTAGATAGGACTGGAGAACAAAGAGGGTGTCGTCTATCTGGGTCTCGCTTAGGTCTAACCTACAATAGAGAACATAGTGTTATATTATTATAGAAAAAGGTTGTGTAACTTAATCTCCTTTAGATTTAACCTACCAAGCAGAGCAGTGTCATATAACTGGACTTAGTCAAAATACAGAAAAAGTGTTGTATAACTGGGTATGCCTAACTTGCACCAATACAAGAAAAGCTTTTTCATTGATTGCTGTCAGTTTGTTTTGAAGAGACATCAAGAAAGATAACTCCTGTTGTAAACTTGTTTTTATGTGCATTTTTGCTTTGAACTCATAATGAGGGTACACTCTACAGTGTATTGGAGCTATTGTCATACAAGTTCAAACAGTGGACCTATCCTTTTATAATGCTCCATTTATACTTTTTTTTACTTTAATTTGTTTAATTTTGTACCGTATGTTTGACCTTTTATGACTTAGTCATTCAGCATGTTTGACCTTCGGCAACTCATTCCTACCACGGGTTTGACTTTGAGTGACTTACATTCGCACGGTATGTTTGACCTTGAGAATCTGCTCCTGTTCCGGGGGACTGATAGTTTGCACAATCTCCTCCTTCTGTTCGGAGTCTGCCAGTGTTGCCACAATGGCATCTACTCTCTCCTTCTTGTCTAGAACTCGTCTACAAAACAGAGTCAGTTGGTTTGTCTCTAAAGCTGTCATGAGTAATGCCATTTTCCTGTTTACAACAGTATTTTGATAATTCATGTTGATAAGTGGGAAATTTTAGGAACCAGTTAACAGACATGCTTAAAAGTCACAATCTATAGAAGTGTTTTATTAAGAATAATTTGGAGTATTACTTGTGTTCCGCCACCTCAGCCTCACGTCGTATCATGGCATTCTTCACCGCCTGAGGAAAAAACAAAGTTTGATGTATGACATTGCTTACAAAACAAATGGAACTGTATAAATGTTTAGCTAATACTTCTTGATAGAAAATTATGTTTAGCTATAATTCTAGGATAGTAAGTCACTACTAATGGTTAGAACGGAAACCTTATTAGCTTTAATCATTTTTCTCCATGACAGTGTCATCAACAACCTTGTTATGAACTGGAATGAGAATTATTATAGGTATCTGTGTCATGGGTTAGTCTTCCGATACAGATTCCCAATCTAGGTGATTCAGTTTTGAGTTTAAATCTTAGTCTGACACTAAGATAATCCATTCTATCTTAGTTACAATTAAATTTATGTAATTTTCACAATTCTTTTCTTCCTTAACATTAGTGAAACAATATATTATCAGTTATCATTATAAGGTCTCAAAATAATATGGCGTCTTCGTGTATACAACATATGACACATAATAAAAAAAGCAGGATACTTTTCATTGGGTGTTATGTGCTCTGGGTAATAACCTTCATTACCAGTAATTTACCTGATACTTTGGAAGACAAAATAAGATATATGGTTGCTTGTAAATCACCTCGAGATAATTGGTACAGTGTTACGTAATACTGCTAGACAAATAAGTAGCCTAGAAATTCCTTCCTGGAATAACATTTTGGTCTATTTGTTTGTTTTATTATTTATTTATTTTTTTGCTCCATATTAGAATATGGCATGTTCCTGTACATGTACATTGAGATGACAGAACACTGTGTTTACCTTGAAACATCTCTGTTGAACAATTCTGGCTACCTGAGGGATGTCTACGTTGAACAGGTAGAATGTACGAGAGGGGGCATGGTCAGGAGTTTTAGACACTTCCTGTAATAATAAATAAATGTAATATAGATGTCCACAATAAACAGGTAGAATGTATGAGAGGGGACATGGTCAGGAGTTTTAGACACTTCCTGTAATAATAAATAAATGTAATATAGATGTCCACAATAAACAGGTAGAATGTATGAGAGGGGGCATGGTCAGGAGTTTTAGACACTTCCTGTAATAATAAATAAATGTAATATAGATGTCCACAATAAACAGGTAGAATGTATGAGAGGGGGCATGGTCAGGAGTTTTAGACACTTCCTGTAATAATAAACAAATGTAATATAGATGTCCACAATAAACAGGTAGAATGTATGAGAGGGGGCATGGTCAGGAGTTTTAGACACTTCCTGTAATAATAAACAAATGTAATATAGATGTCCACAATAAACAGGTAGAATGTATGAGAGGGGGCATGGTCAGGAGTTTTACACGCTTCCTGTAATAATAAATAAATGTAATATAGATGTCCACAATAAACAGGTAGAATGTATGAGAGGGGGCATGGTCAGGAGTTTTACACGCTTCCTGTAATAATAAATAAATGTAATATAGATGTCCACAATAAACAGGTAGAATGTATGAGAGGGGGCATGGTCAGGAGTTTTAGACACTTCCTGTAATAATAAATAAATGTAATATAGATGTCCACAATAAACAGGTAGAATGTATGAGAGGGGGCATGGTCAGGAGTTTTAGACACTTCCTGTGACATAAAATAATTGTAATATATATGTCTACAATAAACAGGTAGAATGTATGAGAGGGGACATGGTCAGGAGTTATAGACATTTCCTGTTTTTAATTTAATAAAGATGGAACACATAAAACGTTGTACATTAAACAGCAATAAATGATGTCCAATTAAAGTCATATTTGTAAATAAAGCAACCTTTCTATAAATGTGAGTACAATTTTGGAACATGTACACAACAAGATAATGCAACACCTAATATCTATATGCATTGTCAATACGGTAGCTGCCAAAATGTCAATCATCAATTTCTTGTTGCTTCTTTGATGTTAGAAAAGAAATTACTTTCACCTTTATAACAATTTATTTGCGGTGTCTACAATAGTGTGGTGGAGTTAAATAACTACAATTTGATATCTCTGTTCATTACACTTACTGTTAGAGTGATGAAGTTTTCAGAAAACATGTTGTATAACAGTTCCTTAGCTTCCTTGGCAGATATCATAGCATAGTCCTCAATCTGTAATACATAACACAGTCCTCAATCTGTAATACATAACACAGTCCTCAATCTGTAATACATAACACAGTCCTCAATCTGTAATACATAACACAGTCCTCAATCTGTAATACATAACACAGTCCTCTATCTGTAACACATAACACAGTCCTCAGTCTGTAATACATAACACAGTCCTCAATCTGTAATACATAACACAGTCCTCAATCTGTAATACATAACACAGTCCTTTATCTGTTATACATAACACAGTCCTTTATCTGTAATACATAACACAGTCCTCAATCTGTAATACATAACACAGTCCTCAATCTGTAATACATAACACAGTCCTCAATCTGTAATACATAACATAGTCCTCAATCTGTAATACATAACACAGTCCTCAATCTGTAATACATAACACAGTCCTTTATCTGTAATACATAACACAGTCCTTTATCTGTAATACATAACACAGTCCTCAATCTGTTATACATAACACAGTCCTTTATCTGTAATACATAACATAGTCCTCAATCTGTAATACATAACACAGTCCTCAATCTGTAATACATAACACAGTCCTCAATCTGTAATACATAACACAGTCCTCAATCTGTAATACATAACACAGTCCTCAATCTGTAATACATAACACAGTCCTCAATCTGTAATACATAACACAGTCCTCAATCTGTAACACATAACACAGTCCTCAATCTGTAATACATAACACAGTCCTCAGTCTGTAATACATAACACAGTCCTCAGTCTGTAATACATAACACAGTCCTCAATCTGTAATACATAACACAGTCCTCAATCTGTAATACATAACACAGTCCTCAATCTGTAATACATAACACAAGTATGTTAAATATAACATCAATAGGAAAGAGTGATAAACAAATAAACATGGTTTTTGATAATAAGTTCTGTTTAACTTTTTAAGGTTACCTGTTTTTGTTTTGAATGCTGCTTTAACAACAAAACTCTGAAAATTCTTAGGCACTTGGATCCAAATCTGTTCAAAATAAATTGTTTTTCATGAGAGAAAGAGCAAGAAGAAAGCTGCAATTCTAATCAAATGAAACACATTGTTACCTACATATTACCTGTAACAAGTCAATCATCTTCACATAGAAGAAGACAAAGTCCTAAAAGTATTAACAAAATACATAAACCATTATAATATTTGGTTGTGTGTTAGCACATTTTATTTAATTCTCCATCATTTTGCAAAAGAAAATTGAGACATCAAATGAAATGACAATCACTGAAGAAGTGACAGATTAAGGTTTCTGATCTGTTAGACAAAAATGGTTGAGACAAAACTGCAGTTATAACTCACCGTTCCTGTACCGCAGACTCCAAGTGAGCCTTGGCGATCTCTTGTAAACCTTTATAGAAATCTCAGCACAGTCAAGGAATTCACATGTGAGATTGAATAAATTAGAAAAACTTTTTCTCAAAGAAATTCTAAAATCAAAAGTAATTTCAGACCTATTATTGGTAAAGTCTAGTATTTTCACAGTTCCAAATGTGCCGATCAACAGAGTTCTGACAAGAGTTTCGGAACATTTCCCCGAGCCCAAAAGGATACTGACAACATACAAACCACCAGACATCTCATCAACCTTGGTGAACATTCCATTCTGTAATACAATACAAATTGACAAGAGCTGCGATAAACTTTACTTATCACTGTATAACACTTACATTTCTAAATTAATATACGAGGGGAGCCAATCACAAATTCAATGTCTTGTAATTATTTGTACTGTACTCTTGATGACATCTATTCCATTGTTATAACTTGCTTTTAATTTTGTTTACATTTGTTCTGAAATTATACACGCCTTATATTATCAAAAACAAATCTGTTACACCAAATATTACTTCAAAATTCATAAAAATGCTGAAATATTTACAATAACAGAGTTTATAGCATGAAAAATATCTATTATATTAATTACAAAATTAACAATAGTAAAACCTTCAAAGATCTTACCATAGGGACGACCTCTGTATAATATGTATAAACACACTTGTAATGACAAACACAGAACAAACTTGTCTGACCTGTCATCTTACCTTGAAAATAACTAATTATCTCTTCAAAAAAAAGCATGTGGAGTGTTCTTGTTTTTTTTAATGTCTAAGTATTAATGTGAAAAGAAGTAAATACAAATCAGAATGGACAAAGCACCTAATGACTGAATATTTTTTAGGTATAGTCACATGACTCCCGTAAGGAAAATGGCCTCCAAAATGAAACTATTGGCCGTGATATAGGAGTGTCCATATCTCTAATAACACATCCTTCGCAAATTCAAAGTCATTTCTAGATCAGCATTTGCAAAATCATGTATTCACAAATATGTCTGCAGAGGTGATTTTGTGAAATAAAGTATTTGTGAAATTTAGGTGCTTTACAATAATTTTAACCAAACAATAATCATCCCATTCCTGGCCCTATATTTCAGGCATTCTCATACAAGTATCTGCAATAAATAGTTTACAAAGATCTTGCTTTGGACTGAAACATTCAATTCTTCTACCGTATCCACTGAAAGATTTTGATGTAAGTAATTCATCTCTTACAACTGTTTTAAAATTTCGCCCCCAGGTACAACCAAAGAACAAAATAGTCTGAACAGCCTTCCTTCCACTAATACATGGAAGTAAGTTCAAATAGCCATTAACAGCTGGAAAACACAGAGACAGTCCTACAGACCAATGTCCAAAGGACCAAATTTAAAGAGCTCATGGGACCATACCATATCATCGCATAACATAGTCATGTACATCTCTAGCACATGTCTGGTCAGGAAGAGCTCCTTTGGCAAGGCACGGAACACCTGTTAGAGAGAGTAAAAAATATCAATGAGAAAGGCACTGAAGACATGTAAAGGAATAGAAAAAATATTTTTGAGCAAGACAAGAAAAGAACAATCATTAAGCAAGGTACTGACCATATGTAAAGAGGGAGAGAGAAAGAGAGAGAGAGAGAAAGAGAGTGAAAGAATAATATTGTTGAGCAAGACATGGAATACCTGTCAGAGAGGAAGGAAAATATTAGTGAGCTAGGTGTGATGCGCCTGTAATTGAAATGTTATAGGGGAAAGCACAAAATGTCTGACACAGAGAAGGTGAAATCTTCAAGGCAAGGCATGGAACACCTGCTAGAGACACAAAGGGAAATGTTATACTTCAAGGCACAGAACACCTGGTAGAGAGAGGGAAATGTTACACTTCAAGGCACAGAAAACCTGCTAGAGAGAGGGTAATGTTATAGTTCAGGCACAGAACACCTGTTAGAGAGGGGTAAATGTTACAGTTCAAGGCACAAAACATCTGTTAGAGAGGGGTAAATGTTACAGAGCAAAGCACAGAACATCTGTTAGCGAGAGCTGAATACTAAAAGATAATGTATAGTACATCTGTTAAAGAGAGAGGAAAATACTACAGGGCAAGATACAGAACATCTGTCAGAAAAGGAATGTTATAGAGACAAGTCAGGAACACCTGCTAGACAAAATGAGGGATATTACATGTCAAGGCACAGAATACCTGAAAAGATTCAACTCCAAAAGCATAATAAAATCTATCCTATTGGAGCTGTGTTCTTACAGCCTATCACACTCCTGTCACAAAACAATAACACTAGCACATACTTCAAGAACAAAGCTCATTTAATTTTCATAATGCTAACCTCTTTCCCAAAAAAACACTTGCCACATTCACAAAACAAAATACTTACCTCATTCACAAAACACTACCACTTTCCACATTCATAATACACTTACCATAACCTCATTCACATAACATTAACACTTACCTCATTCTCAAACCATTTACACATACCTCAATCACATAAAAACTCTTACCTCATTTACACTCATTGCACATGAGGTGGTAGTAGCTGATGAAAATTTTGTCTCACACAGTCTCAGAAAAGTCCGCAGCACTTCCCCAGCTTTCTGTTAAAAAAGTTTTTGATTATAGAATTATATGTATCGATATCTGATTAATTTTGGAAGTGTGAACCAAAGTATTGTAATTTCTCCAAGTAAAAGAACACAGACATTCTTAATGTAGATACTCTGTAAAATTTTGTCATTTTCTAAAATAGAGATGTAAAACAAAAATTCTATGTTTACAAACCACATGCACCTGTCCTTTGTGGCAACAGAATGGAAAAGCAAGGTCAAACAAAATGTTTATTTGTAATTACTTACCACGTCTATCTTGCTGGCAGCAGATGCTACTAAAATCTGATCCCGGAAATGCTGGTGGAACCGTTCAAAGTTAACTCTCCAATAAATACCATCATCTTTTGGAACCTACGAAGAAAACATACCCACAGAAAAATTATGATTAACAATAGGTATATGGTTTTCAGAACTTTTATGTGGAAAACTGATGTGCCAAAAAATCTTAATGAATGGCACAAAATTATATTTTTACCAATGATTTCTGACTATTCAAAGAGTAAAATCAAATATGGTTGAAAGGGCAACAGAAATAAACTATAATTCATGTGATTCTGATCTCTCTGAAGATTTATGAATTGATAGTCAATAAAACATCCTGTCGACAAGTAAACATTTAAAAACTGGAGACATGACCATCTAACTACAATAATACCTCTGACTGATCTTCCCGTGATTCTGTTCTACTCCGTTTAGCAGGAGTTACCTCCCCTTCTGTGGATCGCTTCCTCTTTCTGCTGACTTCCCCTTCAAAATGTAAAATTTTTTAAGAAGTTAATTGAAATTTCTCAGAAATGAACATTTTGTGAAATATTGTTACAGTGGCTGAAATATGCATTTCAAGTACATCCTTTTTGTGCCAAAAATATGTCACAGACCTATTTTTAGGTAAAAAATATCAAATTTATTACATGTGAATTGTAATTTACCGATAGAATTGGATGCCTTTTGCACAAAAACTAATATTTTTCCTTTTACAATGTAAATTTCTTCCTTTCTAAAAGGCACGTACTAATTCATTTACCTAATATCATTGAGTTTTACCCTGTTATTTTTGCGATGTCATTACACATGCATCCTATAGATTTGTTTGTTTGCTGGGTTTGTCACCCAAGGACAAAACTGTGTCAGGACAGAGTGATCCTTTTTCTCAGTTTCCTGTGAAACAGAACCACTTGGAGTAGGCAGGCTTGAACCACACACCTTAGGTCTGCACCTGAGGTTACGTAGCCCTACACATCCTATAGATATACTGGTATTTGCTTTCAGCACAACAACCTCTTAATTATAAATATTATTATATCACATATATCACAGAAAAACATAGGACCACTCTTAATATTTTGAACCCTTTTTTGTCATGATGATATTCATTATAAATGCCCTTGGTTTCCTACATGATGTATATTATTTCTAACTTACCATCAATATCCATTTTGGGTATCATGTACAGCTCATCCTCATTAGGTGCTTGTCTCACTGTAGAATCATCATTGACCTCTTTACCAATATAGTTAGGGCAACGCTGAATGAAATGTGTCTTTGCTAAATTCTCAAATTTCTCTTTAACTAGTCCTGCGTTTATTCTAGGATGACCTGCATAGAAAAAATCAAAAGTACATTAGTCTACAGTGAGCAAGAATGATTCAGAAGCTACGTCTTTCAATTTCACCAATTCTTTTCAGATTTGATCTTATATTTCACAAATAAACTTGTAACAATACATTCACACATATAGGTACATGTATGATTATGTCTAAGTTTGTTTATCACAGACACTCAAGATTTTTTTTGTCTTAAAATCAAAGTTTTTTTTGGCAGTTCTTCAATTCGAAAGTACAGCTTAGGCGTGAAGTGATTTGTGTGTATGAAACTGTGAGGACAAACTTAAAGGTTACATTACCAAGATTGCCAATAAACTTACCTGAGGCATCGAGGGCTTCATTGAGTTTGTCTGTTATATTGATGACAGTCTCACTCATCAAACACTGGCCTTTGTTGAGTAGGTCCTCCACCAGAAGTTCAGCTGCGTCTCCATAGAGTGTCTTGGCACAGTAGATGTAGCGAGGAAAGCGAAGTCGCCACTGGATGACATCACAATGTATAGTATATTCTGTCAATCCTTTCTTGTTTAAATGAAAGGTGACAATGTTGTGTTGTATTAGAAGACAGAGGAGCTTCTTCACCTGTGAAACCACATCAATACAATCTGCAGTTGTAAACTATTTCTTTGAACAATACAGATATACGACTTGATCCATACTTAGTCATTCTGATTAATGCTGCATATGCTGACTAACGGACATGACCAGTTTTACTCAGATGGTCATAAATTGTATCTCCTACAAAGGATAAATCATGAAATTAATGAAGTGACCAAGGTCTATATCTTCTACAATATGTATGTGGGTATTTTCCATATCTACATGGGTTTATTTGCTTACATGTTGTAAATAGTTTTTTCTTTCTTTTAGCTACATATACTTGTACACATGCATGATGTTACCAACTAACCTGATTTCATCAGGTCAACCTGATATTGGTCATATTGTGATCTGCTCAAATCATGAAAAATACTACAATCATCTGAATTTGCATACTTTTTAGGGCATGTACATTGTTACTCAAACAAATGTACAAGCTAGGGTATACATTTTGCATATTAGCTAATGTATATAAGGTAGTTAATCAGCTGGACCTATTTTCAAAGCTCTATTTTGAAATTTTCTGAAATTTTCGACACTGCAGTTGTAATAGGCATTGTCAGTTTCATCCGAGCTTTCATCAACCTAGTTAATGTGACAAATATGAACTATTATGGAATACTTGTGGTTGTTCCAGCCTCTGTATTTGTATGTCTATAGCAGTTCTAGCCTCAAGTCAGTCTGACTGTTTTCTTAGTCATTTCAGCACTTATATTTCCTTCTGTTTTTCTATATATAAAATTTTTGTATCTTTTTTTTGGTCTCCATGATTGAATAAGATATTTAATTAGGTACATGTTTTCTGGTTTGTTTTTTCTTCATAGTAACGTGCCTGTACAGTGTGGCAACAGTAAGAACAAACAGCTTATGTTTACAACACTACCACACCAAGTATAGGCACTGATATAGATATGAAAATGATATACCAATATCCGTGAAACAAAATGCAATACGTCAAAATAGGTGACTCTACCTTGAAATATATCATCTAGGTTATTGACAAATATAAATTCTTAGTCATTTGTATTGTATAAAGGAAATCAAAACAATTAAAAAAAATACATGATATCGAAAAAAAGAAGCACCATCAAATGATATGAGACTGCATATCATTACGAAATCATGTGCCAATCAACCCGTCAAATTAGGTGTCTAAGCATAAGCGTGGGTGGACTCCAACGTTACCTGTTTCAATTCAAGTGCGGATTCCGCTAAAATGTATTTCAGTACACATGACCCTTTCTTCAGTAAAACTTTAGCAATCTTCGAGACTAAGTCTCCAAATTGTTCCCGTAGGATTAAACAGCACAACGCATTTCTATCTTGTGACATTTTCACTCGGAAACACGAAATCTTTACAAGCCATGTCACGCAGACGCTTAATTCGGATGAGCGTCACTTAGGAGCTTAACAGGCATACAATTTATACACAGATGCGCGATCATAAGATCTGAAGGAGTTTTTCGTAATTTCATTTACCGTTCTAAAATGATGCAATAACGTATTATCCGCGATATTCCGTCTCTTTAAGCACTTCTGGTTTCAGCTGAGATTTCATGATACATGTCTTAGACATCAAACTTACAGACAAGTTTCACCAATCCCATCGGGAATGAAAACAAACATCTACTTTAACTTGCTTCAGATTTACAAAAGTAGTTGATTCAAAAATCACACATAACAGATGTATTAAAATTTACTGGAAAAAGATAAGTCAATATTATATCATGCCAATTCAGAATTGTTGTATCAAGACCTCCATAAATACAATTTAGGAGAGTCTGAATCATGTGCATATGGCTTGAGATTTGTAACAACAGCACACTTTTTCTTTGATTGTTGAACTTGACAGTACATTATAGTCACATTATAATCAGAGTGAATTAAGCCAATTGTTCCGCTTCGAGGCTTGTTACATGCACCTCATTCAACATCACAGGTCACACTTTTGTATATTGAATGGAGATAGCATACTGCACAGGCCAGGCTGGTGAGCGGATTGCTGCACATATGAAAAAGAGCACGAATTTAGGACTGTATTTAGTCTTTTCGCTAATTACATTTCAAATATCTTAAAATTGACAGGCCAAAGAGTAATCCCACAATAGCCATACGGATCTTCTGTTGGTCTCCCATTGCTTTAGTGTGTTGTTACAATTAATGTTGCACCTTTTACAATGGCCTAGTATGTTATATTAGGTCACAAAGTTGAAATAATTTTGACAAGTTATGATATAATCGAAGGATTCCATGATATTGTTTACGTGTATAGACTATGTTACATTTGTTTTATTGGCTCTCCTTATTTCATTACACTCTTAACTTCCAATTCCGTGCTTGGTTTGCCCAAATACTCGTTTCTGTCGTTTTTCAATCAAAGCAACTTCTCTAATAAAAATGATATTTTTCAACTTTTGAATCAAACATTGAGTTTGGCTTACTTTTAAACAAATCTTTAAAATCACATTTCATATCTTAGTGATAATTCTCAGGGTCTCTGTTGTAAATTACTCCTCCATATTTAACGTCTGTTTGTGTTTGTTTGCGCTTGACTGATTTAGACTTGTACTCATACCAGAATGATTAATGGTCCACCTAACTCAATTTATCGCTCTCCATCAACTGATCAGTCATGTATATATCGAATACTCGTCTAGAAATTTTCTGAATACTGTTTTCAAGTTTTTATTTCACCAGGTTTCACGTTCTTGTATTTTCTTCAACTATCAGAAGCATCATTTCCAGGCTTTCCCTCGTTCACACATTCTCTCCTTAAATTCCACATGTCCTTATAGTTTACTATTAACTTATTGTTCTAATAAGACTTTAAAATTCTATATTTCGCTCCAGGAATAGTTTCCTTTGAAGTTGAAATGATTGCAAAAACAATATCATTGTAATATTTATCTGTGTAACTTCACTCCCCAGTATCCCAATGTCAGATACACGTAATTTGTCACACAACACTCTCTTGTAGAAACAAATCAAGCTTTTAGCCAAAGCTTTATTCCAATTAAACTTAAAGAAATTATATACTTTATTGAGGTACTCTTGCTGCACAAAACATGCACAGGAACATGCTCTGAGAAGTTAGAATCACACTTTTCAAATATAGACACAGTTTCGACAAGGTCAATTACATTAGACTCCACAATTATGTGATCTAACAGTTTCTGGTCTTTCGGGGAAATGTCAAAAAATGGACTTGTGCACTTAGGTTGTAAATTAGTCAAAACGAGATTACAAACATTTTCTTTTTGTAATTCTGGAAAATACACTGACTGTTCGGTCGTATGAAATTGACATCGTTGTCCTCGGATTTTTACATTCATATCTCCTCTCAGTAAGACATTTGCTCTCTCAAAATACGTCAAGTATAAGCTTTCCATCAATTCTGCATGTTCACTAAACACTTCAAACGGAATATCGACTACAAAACAACACAAATTGAAATTGTCAGAAATGCAAATCTTAGCTCCAGTAGTCATAGGGCTGCCAATCTGTATCTCCTGTCTTTTAACTTGTTCTGATAGACAAGAGCAGGTGAGTAAGTAAGGTGTGCCGGACATAATTCCTTCAATATCCCAACAGAGTATATGAAACAGTTCAGCCATGCATATAACTCAGGGAAAACTTCTCTTGGTTCGCAGTTGTGAATATTAATGCCTACAGTTCAAAAGTGTTCATCTTTTTATGATATGTTCATCTTCAGCTAAGATATTCAGCTGCGCCGAGGTCGTATAATTCCATATACTATCAAAGCATCTCTACACGTTATCTTGACATTGGTTTGATTACAATAATCTCGCATTGCTGATACATGTGTTCGTTAAAGCGATTTCACAATTCAACATCCGGATTTCTGTTGTGCTGTTGTGAAGAAACTGGATTATCTTTGACGGTATCAGGAGTAGAGCGCTCTGCTTCTTAGATCGTGTTATCTCAATGACTTGGTCTTTTAGACTATCGTAGGGGGACTTGCACAGATTGGTTTTATCACTTATCGTCTCCATCACTGATTCGCATATTTATTCTTTGTTGTACTAATTTCAATGATTTCTCAACAACGGCAAGCCCATTTTCTTGTGAATCGTCAAAACGGCTGACTATCAAAACACAATCCTGCTCTTTTCCATTACCCTGCCATCTCAGTTCGTAGAGTAATGAGTTTCTTATCAGGATCGAACTCATTTTGGTAAAGGGCATATTCATTCCTATGATGGTTTTACAAGTTTATATTAGCCTTGTCTCTATTTAGTACTTCTCTTCTTTCAAGTTGTTGATATTTGCTTCATGTCAATGAATGCTTTCCCGTGACATAGAGTGTTCTATTGTCAAGCCCACGCAGCTTTTCTTTACTCTTTTTCTCACACATTATGTCATTTCCTTTCACTGCTTTCAAGTCAGGCAGATATTTCTGATTTCTCTTCTGTGCATTATCCTTTTCCTAGCATAATTTTTCATCCACTTTCTGTAGCTGAACATCTCTGTCAGTCGTTACTTTGTAGTTAACCCTGATTCACATGATTGCTATTATTTCTTTATTTAAAGTGGTTTTTTACAGTTACAGCTCACTCCGAATGTGGTCTAATGAGACAGTGCAAAACACTTCTTTATCCGTGTGTATGAATGACTCTTTAATAGGCCTACTAGTCTGTTCGCCTTTTTCACACTACTTGCTACATATATACTGAACTTCAAGTCAATGTCAAATAGGACTCCTAGATCTTTTTCCTGATCTCCTTGTTGTATTTCCTTACCACCCAGAGTCTATCTGTGCCTTTCGTTGTTGTGTCTAAAGTGCTGTCACGTTTTAGACCTATCTTCTACGTTGTCCAAGTCAACTGACATACACTGTTATTGTTGTTACTTGTTCCTTATGTCTTTGTATCATCTGCGAACTCAAAGGACTTGTATGAGATGTAGTGTGGTTGATCTCCCCTTGCAAAATCCGTATTGAATATTATTCAGCAGGTCTTTCTGTTTTAAAGTATTCGATGATGCTTTCCCTATAATATTGATTCAATAGTCATGTATGTCACACTAACAGGTCTATAGTTAACAAAATTTTTTAAACGTTCTTAGTTAGCTTTCCTCTACACCTCTGGTATCGTTACTTCCTCCAGAGATTTGTTAAATATAATATTCAAGGATTTGCTTATGTAACCCTGGTAAGTACTACCGCTCGGCGAGAAAGAACTTCTATTTAGCTCGATCGGTTGTGCGTCAGACTAGTAAGCCAGGGGTCCCGGATTCTAATCCTAGCGGATGCAATTAAGTAAATAATTACCTCTGTTACACTTGTTACAGCTCTTGCTTCACACAATATTATTTTAGATGAATTCTATCTGGACTTGGGGCTTTGGATGTGTCCAATTCGGAAAGTTTTGTCGATACGTTGTCCTCAGTGATATCTACTCGTCTCGTTTGAATATTTGTATTATTGATTGAAAATAACTTAAAATATTCTAAATAGTGAATATTTTGTAGAAACACTTGTTACGAACTTCATCATCATCCGTTGCCATTCTACCATCGTCTGCCTCTAATGTAGAGATGTCTGTTTTTGTTTTTGTCTTGGTTTGTCTATATTTCCATAAACTTTTAGCGTCTGTCTTGAACTCGTTGGCTATGTTTTGATCATAGTGTTAAGCAGCCTGTCGCTGTACATTGGTGGCGTGGTTACTTTCTCTTTTGTTATTTTCGTGGGCGTTTTCATTCCTATTACCTCTGTATTAATAGCATTCTTTTCTTTTTCTCTTCACGGTTAGTATTGCTGTTTCGTTCCTCCACGGGTTTCGAGAGTCTCACACAGACGACTTTTGTTTACTAGTATCCATTTTCCCATACACTTCATAACTTTGTCAACAAAGTAGGCCTATAATTCCTCCAGGTCCATTTCATTCATTTCACCCCACCCGTTTTCATTCAGCTCCAGGCACATCTGTTTATAGTCCCACTGTAAAAACAACAATGCTTTTCTGGTGTATATGACTTGGGCTTTACAATACGAAACACATGTTTAACATTAGAGTAGCTTGGTCTCTCTTTCCTAATAGTTGTCAAACTATCAAATCCTCCACCATTCCTTCATCGTTTGTAAATATAAGGACTGAAGTTGACAGTGTGCTTTCATGTGTGTATCTTGTGTAGTCAGTATCATGCTGGTATAGATTTCTGGGTTGCAGATTTACTGAGTTCTATTGCAATTTCCATGTACCAATTATTCTCTTATAGGTAAAATCACTAAATATGAGAAGATATGAGGCTCTGGCTCTTGCTTCTTGTATCACTGCCTGCAGGTTTTCTGAGTTTGCTCTACCGCTGGAGTTTGTTAATTC